TCGCTATGTCTAAGCCAATGACACCTTGGTCAAATTCGCTGTGTCCAAGCCAATGACACCTTGGTCAAAGTCACTGTGTCACATTAATCAAACTCATGGTGTCCACCCTAATCAGAGTAACTGTGTCCAAGTCTATGACACCATAGTCAAAGTGACTGTGCCCAAACCAATGACACAATAATCAAAGTCTCTGTGTCCAAGCCAACGTCACCATAGTCAGATATTGAAAGATTTTAAACTAAGCAATCCGAAAAATCCCTAGTTTCTTGTAATTAAAAATTCTCTATGAAAATATTTCGGGACATTTAATGGGCCGTTTCCTTCTGAAATTTTCTCTAAATTTTTATAAAATACTAATTATTAACCGACCCGTGTCTATCTAATTATAGATAATTAAACGACCTAGGTCTATCTTCGTTTAAATTATAAGATATGATACGATTCACTTATTGTTCCAAATAAAAAGAAATGCTTAAAAAATTACTTTGTACATTCTCAGCCCATAAATAATTGCATATTTGAACCAAAAGAACATTTACAATTATACAATTTAAAAACAAGCCATCTCAAGTATTTGTGTAACGTCGAAATCAGCCATCTTATACCAACTAAAGAAGAACATTCACTTAGTGACGTCAAATGACATAATTTGTGATCATTCGGATTTGGTAACCGCCTGGGAGGCGGCGTTGGTAAACTCTTGCGTGCTAGGTCTTCAGGTCCAAACATTACGAGCAGCGTTTCTTTCAGACATTTTTCCCCCGGGCAGCATTTCAAATTTTAAGTTGGGGGGGGGGGGCAGTGCCAGTTGCCAGCCGGCAGTTCTTAGAGGCGTAACTAAGGAATGGCAGATGGGACATACGTCCCAGGGCGCAAGACTAGATGGAGCACCAAAAGAGCCTTTGGTGGTTTAAAATAGTTTAAAAATAATGAGTTTTAGAGTTTAGGGGGGCGTAAAAATGAATCATTTCCTCTGACGCCCAGCAAGAGGCGTAGAAAGGGGAGGCTAAGCTTGTTCACACAGGTTTCACTTTTTCTTTATATGGAGGTGCGGCATTTTCGGACAACTGGAGAGTTTGTATCGTGCAAGGAAGAGCGTCAAGAAATTCAAACATTAAATGTAAAAACAATATTACTCTATGGAGCCGCAACTTAAAGAACAAGAGCGAGCATTATAAAGAAAGTACAGACCTTCATAAACACTTGCCTTAGAAAGATCCTGAACATCAAATGGCCAAACACCATCACAAACAATGACTTGCTAGAAAGAACATACCAGGAGCCTATTGCTGAAGACCTCATTAGAAAAAAGATGGAGATGAATTTGGCAAACTCTCCAAAAACACCCAGATAACATCACCAGACAATCCCTAGGGAAAAAGAAAGAGAAGGGGCCCTAAAATACATAGAGACGCGATCTAGAGGCAGGCACACAAAGTATGTGATACAATAGGAAGCAACTGAAAAGGAAAGCATAGAACCGAAATAAACGGAACATTGTTGTATACCGCCAATGCGTCAGACGGGTAAAAGGCGTAAGTAAGTAAAATTAATTTTGAGTGGTAGAGGGGACTGGGAATTCGTCCCGGAATTTTTTTTTTCTATTTCAAAATCAAAAGTGCATTTTGGAGTATAGTTGAATTAATGTTTCTATTATATTTTTTGATCAGGGGAAATACATTTTAAGGGTCTGGGGAGGCAGTATGGTGCCAGTGCTATGCATAAACTGAATTCACTCCGTCGGTGGCGTGCGTCTGGGTAATCCTTTCGCACAAGCTTATATTCAAATTCATACTGTAACATTGATCAGTGTGAGAAAATGGGGTGAAGAAATTGAGGGTTCTGAAGACAGTCGCTCAATTTCAAAACTTCAGGGGTGTATCTTGGTGCATACTTGAATTCGGTTATTCTTTCAGACACTTTTGAGGTGACATTTCAAATATTCGTGTACGGAAGCTCCAAAATGAGCCACAATAATGATCAAAGACATCTTTAACACTGCACCTGCGGGGCATGGACTAACTTCATTCAGGTTGTGGCGCCCTAGAGGTTATGAATTTCCCCATATCTTGTTATCGCCTCACTTTACTTTTCACCCCCCTCCCCTTCCCGGAGAGATGGGTTAAAAGAAATACTGATTAGTGGAAAGAAGTTGGTAATCCTAGCGTTGTGCGTCCCAAGTTATAGTATAACCACACTAATTAAAAGCCAATCGAAGAAGATTTAAAGCTATTCGATGAAAATGAGAAAATCAATAAGATTTTTTAAAGTTAATTGTTTTTGTGAAATGTTCACCCAGGATAGTTCTCATCAACAGCAGTCAGAAACATCTGGTAAAGCGTTGCCATAAGGTGGGAATACGAAGGAAAGAAATGACTTGTTATGAAAGGACTTTTTGAGAAATAGTGTGTATACCGTTTTTAAAATTGAAGTCAAGTAAGAAATAAATAATAAAGAATCAGGGATGCTTAACACAAGGATTGTTCAGGAGGTCGATCTGATTGAGCTGATCTTATGTATCTGTGATGAAGGAGTTGGGATGTGATCTTATATATCTGTGATAAAGTGGATGGGATGTGATCTTATGTATCTGTGATGAAGGAGTTGGGATGTGATCTTATATATTATCTGTGATTAAGTGGGTGGGATGTGATCTTATGTATCTGTGATGAAGGAATTAGAATGTGATCTTATGTATATGTGATGAAGGAGTTGGGATGTGATCTTATGTATCTGTGATGAAGTGGGTGGGATGTGATCTTATGTATCTGTGATAAAGAGCTGGGATGTCATCTTATGTATCTGTGATGAAGTGGGTGGGATGTGATCTTAGGTATCTGTGGTGAAGAGGTTAGGATGTATCATCCATATTTTTTAAAAAGTTTTTGCAACAGTATTTTTCTTCAAACAGTTCTTTGGGTTAAAGGTGTTTAGTTTTTGTGATAGTATTTGCTTTCTTAAATAGCTAATTTAATGTGTTTGATGTCAGACGATGAATTTTCACACATCAGCAGGTAACACTGAAGTTTAGTACGCTTCCACTCGTTGCATTGTAGAATAAGTTAATAACCTTTTTTGTTTACGCCGAAGTTGTACAATTTTGTAAGCTAGAAAGTCTTTGGTTATATTTTTTATACACAATTTGGCTGTGCTCATGCCATGTCAACTTATTATTAATGGTGTCTCCTAGGCTCTCATGTGTCTCTACTTGCTCTATAAGGTGACACCGAGATACTCATATGTCTCTACTTGCTCTACACTGTGATTATTCATTGGCAGATCTGCAATTGGGGGAGTCCCCCTCCGTAAATCGACAACCACTTCTTTCGTTTCTTAGAGATTCAACTGAAGAACATTCTCATCGCGCCAACTGATAAAGCTTGTAACTAAGTTGCGGTATACGATTTCCACTTTGGGTATTAAGTTAACTATGGTGGTATCATCAGTAAATTCAATGATTGGAACGTTGTTGCTTGGGCTCTGAGTGTATGGTCTACGGGACATCGGGGGGGGGGGGGGGAACGCAACCCTGTGGCGCCCCCATACTTATTTCTCTAGTTAATGATATTTGGTCATTCACCTTGTTAAATTGTGGACGATGTATTAAAAACTTCAGCATCCACGCTTGGATATTTGAATTTTATTCATAAGGCGTGGTTGGGTAGTTGTTGATAGTGTTAAATCCTTATGAGAAGTCTATGAAAAGCAATTTAGCGTATTTCTAAGGGATGTCTAGGTGATGATAAACGCTTTCCAATTATATTAAGTTTTTGCTGTACTTCATTTAAAAATTGACATCGTATACGTTTCCAAAAACTTATAATAATGATAAGTGCGACAAGACGTAATTTGCTATTGAAAAGTGACTATTTAGCTTTGGAATTGGCAAAATTTCGGAAGTTTTCCATGCCTTTGGTATGGTATGAGTCTCATGCAATGTATTGAATATGTAACACACAATGTAGAAGAGCTGTTCTGAGCAGAGTTTAACAAGCTATTCACGTAATTTGTCTGGCCCCAGTCAAAATATACATGTCTATCTAGATATTACCTAGTGATAGACCAACGTCTATCTAAACAATTCTTACCAACCCTTATTTATCTATCTAAATATTATTTACCAACCAGCATTCCTCTTTCTAAACATTATTTACTAATCGGCATTTGCCTATCTAAATAGGATACACTTATCGGTATTTGTCTATCTAAACATTACTTACAAACCGACACTTGTCTATCTAAACATTGTTTTGTAAGCGGCAATTTTGTATCTTAATATTGCATACTAACCGACAATTGCCTATCGAAACATTGTTTTGTAAGAGGCAATTTTGTATCTTAATATTGCATACTAACCGACAATTGCCTATCGAAACATTGTTTTGTAAGAGGCAATTTTGTATCTTAATATTGCATACTAACCGACAATTGCCTATCGAAACATTGTTTTGTAAGAGGCAATTTTGTATCTTAATATTGCATACTAACCGACAATTGTCTATCTAAACATTGGGTACTCATCATCACTGTAGGACAGAGTATAAAATGGTTCGTACTTTTCTCTTAGTGCTTACTGTTACTTTCATGCCCAATTGAATACAAATAGTCAGACAACTTTGGTACCTTACATCTTTTTAACCCTTCCATGCCCATATTCAACTTACTTTCAATATTATAATACGACTTTGGGCAATTAATAGGCAAAATTAAAATGTCTTTTTAAAACTTGTTTACACGTGATCTATATAATCTGAGTAAACAACTATGGTTGGATCTTTTCAAAAGGTTATTTGCATTGGCTTCATTCACAAAGTTTAGGAACCGCTGGCATAGGATTTGGTCTTAGGTTACATGGTTAACTCTTATTAGAGTGTTGGCCGTGTTGATCCGTTTAAATGAAAACCTCTGTAATGTCGCTTAGTCATGTGCATCGACGATTCGAGTAGGAAAAGTTCTAGCCAGACTTCCTTTTCACAGACATCCCCAGACTCTTACAGTCTTTTAGAGTCATCGGAATCATAGGCCCCGACGATGGCATTTCAACTGAATATATATCAAGAATTCTTGGGCCATTTTCAATACCATTGATGAATTTACGGTGCGCTGGAGGGAAACTGCTGAACCAGGTACGGCATCCTTGTCCCATGCTTGAGTGAACATTCCACTACGATGGAGTTTTCTTTTTTTATGGATACTTGTCATGGATTTTTCATAAAAAGCTGGGCTCATTATTAGCTGGAACGCATGGGTTTTACTTTTGTTAAGTTTATCTACAAATCTAACCGCTTGATGTTAGTTTATACACACCGTGGTAGCTGAATAGTAATTAATGAAAAAAATAATCAACATTTTTTGATCTCTTAAGATGTTTTTTGGTTGAAATAATATATCCGTTATTATTGTTTATTGCCTAAATGATTTGTTGAAAAAAAAATCATATTTTTATAATTATTAGCTTAATATCTTATTTTGATGATAGACAATCATCCTGTCGACTGAAGCTAAAGTATCACCCTATTTAGATGTCAAGGCATATTTTGTTTCGGTCTCTTCTTCTGCCCTGATCTTATTTTTCATAAACTTATTTTTCTTTTTTTGAGAAACAACTTTATGACGTAATCGATACAAATGAAATATGAAAGCATTTTAAGATTCAATTGCCATGACGTCATTTGCAAAGAACAATGGCCAAATGAAAAGGGTGTGAGTGTCAGAGTTTGTCAGGGTTTCCTCCCCTTGTGTAGTATATATCTCATTGTATTCATTAAGGTCGATGAAATCTTTTTTTCCCGTCAAGGAAATATATCCAACGTACTTTGGCGTTGCCTCCCCAGACAGATATCAAGTTCTGGCTCTTATGAAGTACATGGATTTACAGAGATGGCTCCATTTTTCCGTGGTCTATGAAAATAGTGTGTCAGGCCAGAGGTACTTTGAGCAACTGAAAGCAAATGTAGTAGATTATGAAATGTGCATTGTGTCTTCGAGGTTGGTCGATGACAGAACGAACTTCACCGGTCTACTGGAGAGTTTGATGACTAAAGACAAAGTGTACACCGTTGTTTTCTTAGGAAACTCTCCCACCTTGCTGCGGAGGATAACAGATGCTACAGAGCAATTGGGAGCCCATGGAAAGGTGCTTTGGATAAATGCGGGACACTGGTACAGTTTGTCGTCTCCAGAAACAACAATTCCCGGCTCGCTGGTGGTTAGTTTTATACACCAGAATGATGATGGGTTATCGTATCATTTAAAAAGTATAAACCCAAAGACCACTAAAAATCCTTGGTTTTTGAAGTCTTTTGAGGATATCTTTGAGTGTCCTGACGATTCCTGTATCTACGCCAAGCAACGGGAAACCAACCTGTACAGAATGTCAGAAGGAGCATACGTGCAAGACTCGGTCTACGCTTACGCCCTAGCTCTGAATAATATGAAAAAAGAACACTGTATCAATCAGAAGCACGAAGAAGCTGTTCGGTGCTTGCAGACAAATAGCGAACTCTATATAAAATACCTGAGAAGCATAACATTTACTGGAAGGACCGGAGCTATCAGCTTCAAAGCGAAATTTATCAAATCTGAGTACGTTGTTATTTTTCAAAATTTGGTTCGGGTCAAGGATCGCGCTAAGTATCTAAAGCCCTTAGCAGTTTACGACAGTGAAAACAAACTGACGACGGTGCTGAACAACGTGTCGTGGGAACACTTCACTTTTCAGAAGGAACATCTCGATACGAACATTCAGTGCAGACCGACTTGTGGGCCGCATCATTTTAAACTGTTAGACCATGGCTGTTGCTGGACGTGCCACAAATGTCAGGACAACGAGATCATATCCAAGACTGGGACTCTTTGTAACGCCTGCCCACCCCTGTTTTGGCCCCTCGACAACAACACGAAGGTCACAGAATGCGCGCCTATCATACCGGAAACATTTGATTGGTTGTCAGCGACCCCCGTCACTTTCAATGCTTGCGCGGCTCTGGGAATCGTGATAGTTTTTTCAGTGATGAACTTCTACAGGTCCCACCAAGGAAACATTTTGATTAGGTCCAGCAGTTTACACTTGAGTGTGATCCAGCTCCTGTCCATCGCGTGTGGATACGTCGCCATCCCGCTGCTCATCAACCACAACTCGCCGATCTGCTGCAATGTGGGCCTTTACCTTTTTGACCTCAGCGTGTACGCCCTGTACGCGACCATGCTGATCAAAGCGCTCAAACTTTATCAAATCTTCAACTATTCCAAGACAGAAGAAGAATTGAAAAAATTACCAAGAAGCATTGAACTGGTTGCATTTTGGTTGTTCTTTTTAACTGTGGTGAGTGTGCTATTCTACAGGCATTATAAAGAAAATTGTTCTTTAAATGAACTTAAAATAATAATTTTAATAAATCATAATGTAACAGTTTCTTTCTCTCTGTCTCTCTCTCTCTCTCTCTCTCTCTCTCTCTCTCTCTCTCTCTCTCTCAGTGTGTGGTAAATCGCACCGTAATGGTACTTCTCTTTCAATCTCCCTCTTTTACCCTTCTCTGTCTCACTCTCTCTGAGGTGGTAAATTACACTGTAGGCATCCCCCCTCTCTCTCTCTCTTTCTCTCTCTCTTTCTCTGTCTCTCTGTGTCTAATATCTGTGGTAAATCACACTGTAACTGCACGTCTCTCTCGGTCTCTCTCTGTTCCTCTCTGTCTAACATTCTTTTTTTCTCTCTCTGGTGGTAAATTACACTGTAATAGATCTTCTCTCTTTCTCTCTCTCTCGCTCTCTCTGTGCTAAATCACACAGTAATTGTACTTCCCTCTTAGTCTCTCTCTGATTCTCTGTCTACTCCCCTCTCTCTCTCTGTGGTAAATTACACTGTAATGGTTCTTCTGGTGCAACTGAAACAAACATTTAAAAGTAAAAGGAGAATACGTTGATTTTAACATTGAATTGCGAAAAGAATTTTATTTAAAAGAATTGTTATTTAAAAGAAGTGTTATTTAAAAGAAGTGTTATTTAAAAGAAGTGTTATTTAAAAGAAGTGTTATTTAAAAGAAGTGTTATTTAAAAGAAATGTTATTTAAAAGAAGTGTTATTTCCTTTGAAAAAAAAAAAAGATCGAAATTTGTGAGATGAAAGAACAGGATAATAAAATTTGTCCTAGGTCAGAAAGAAACTTTTCGTAATAACTTCTATTACATAAATTTGGATTTTGAGAAGAAAGTCGCCAATCATGAACTTTTTAGTATTATTATTTTTTAAAAACTCACGTTGCGGCAATAAATTTGCAAAGGAACAGTCTAATGTTTACAATACTTAAGGATCTATAAATATTTTGTACATTAATACATTCATTTTTACATTTTCTAGGTTGTCACTCTCTTGTTCTTGCATGTGAATTTCCCGTTAGGCACCAGCGTCTCCCAACCTGATCCGTTTGTTGAGTATGCTGAGATCGCGTGCAGCGTACCACAGCTGTACGTCCTCTCTTTACTGGCCATGCCGATCTGCCTCCTGCTCATTTCCTTTATAGTGTCATTCTTGACTATTAGCATACCCAATACCTTCAGGGAGACCAGGTTCGTCAACATGTGCGCTCTTATCCTCCTAGTCATGTGGATCGCATTCATGCCTTCTTACTTCACGGCGGTTCGCCCACAGATGAAGATGTATTTCATCGCCCTGATGGTCCTCCTCAATCACGGCATCGCCATATTCTTCCTTTTCTTGCCCAGGATCGCCACGATCGTCTATCTTGGCGGGGCAGTTCGGAACGCGTCCGGTAATTCGGAAAACATGGAATCCTATTTCATACAGGTACCCCATGAATCGAAGCGGATGTCCATCATACAGGACAGGATGTTGAACTTCACAACAATTGTTCAAGACATCCCGGTTTTTCAGGAGCCTGTATGCGATACGGCCTCGCAGACACCATCCCCTCATAGAAACATGGATGACAAATTAACGAAGTGTGGTGCTCAAAATGGCGACGAAAGAGTATCGACCCCATTGTAAATGTCGATTGATTGAGCGCGCGTGTTTATATTTTATTCGTTGAAGTTTTAAGGACTGTGTTTTAGTTCATTCATTTCTAGAGGGTTTAACAATGCGGCCATCAAATTTTGAGCTACTGAAATCAATTTTTTTACTAAAAAAAAAGCAACCCTTTTATTTAAGCGGCATCCATTTTTGTCTTTACTAAAAACGATTGCTTAGAAAAGGAAATAGATATTCGCTGGATTTTAATTAATTTATATATTTTATAAAAAATTAGATAACGATCCAATATAACTCTAAAAAAAAAAAAAGAACCATTTTATATATAAACGGGTTCTTAAAAAGAATGATAAAGATTTTCTATTTTACGGAAATCAAATCAATTTCATTAATAAAAACGATTGCTTAGAAAAGGAAATAGATATTCACTGGATTTTAAATAATTTATAAATTTTAAAAAAAATTAGATAACGATCCAATATAACTCTAAAAAAAAAAAAAGAACCATTTTATATATAAACGGGTTCTTAAAAAGAATGATAAAGATTTTCTATTTTACGGAAATCAAATCAATTTCAATTAAAAAATAAAATATATCAGCTTACGTTAACGTATATATTTAAGTATTATCATTATAAATTAGAAATGCAATTAAAATAAGAATTAAAGAACTATTTTAGGTATTTTAGTCGAGGCTGAAAGTTAAATTAAATTCCCTTGAGTTTATTCGCGCGTGATTCTCAGCTGATGTTTTTTTTTTTCAAATCCTTTTAAAAAGTAAATAAAACTTACAGCTTCTTATGTTGTTAATAAACTGAACCAATTTTTAATTTTAAAAATTTTTTTTTTAATTTTTAAAATTTAATATGTTCAACTAATTTTTTTTTTTGCTCCAGAAAATGTGGTTTTATCAATTATATAGTGATAAACAGCTAATGTTTAAAATTATTTTGAATAAGACCATGCTGTGTTAACCATTAGGTGCAAAGAAAACTCATAGCCAAATATCACTAACTAATTCAGTTATCACTCATCTAAATAACAACAAACCATGTGAAAGGTTCAGCTGATTCATGTCTTATAGCAACATCTCAAACCCCGATGAAGTCATAGATATGAACTGTGTGGTTGCGTACGTACGGGGTAGGGTGGGGTGGGTGGGTGGGTGGGGGGGGGACGACTTTGATCCAGTGGATGCTTTGATACATATTTATTAAAGAGTATGAAGGGAGGGCAATTCGATACTTTCATCTTGCACCAGGCATCACAAGATACGCCTAACTGCCCAGGAATCTAAGGACATCGACATTTTTTTTAAAGTTTCCAAATTTAAAGTCAAGTATCGAGGATAGGGTTGCTGACATCTGGATACAAATGTCTAAAACACAAAATCATTGTCCACTGAACATTTAAATATTCTAACATTGTTAAAGAATTTTTTTATTGCTCAAAACGACATTTAGATCTACTGGGTTAATATTTCTTAAAATATTAGGATATATATATATATATATATATTTGGCGACTCCCGTGAAAGAGTCGCCCGACCTACACCCCCCCCCCAACCCAAGGGGTCGCGATACACAGGTTGAGAGCCGCTGCCTTAAAACTTATTGTGATCAAAGACGTCCGTTCTGCTTTGTTAAAAATTTAATAATTTAAAACTAAAGTCGGCCCTTATTTTTTAAAGGATAATAAATGTGATTTGATGTAAAATAATGTATATTTGTTTACCAGACCTTTGACGAAATAAAACATAAGTATTCATTGCTCAAACTCAGATTGTTTTTAAGAGTTTATAATTAGGTTTTCCCCTTGAAATGAAATATATTTTCTGTGATCTTCACTTCAACATGTTTCGAAATGGCCAAATCATATACCCGGTTTTCTGTTTTTTTCTTTCAAAAGATAGTGAGTACATTAAATACTATCTAATCTATCTATCTATCCATCCATCCATCCATCCATCCATCCATCCATCCATCCGTCCATCCGTCCATCCGTCCATCCGTCCATCCGTCCATCCGTCTATCCGTCTATCCGTCTATCTGTCTATCTGTCTATCTGTCTATCTGTCTATCTGTCTATCTATCTGTCTATCTGTCTATCTATCTATCTATCTATCTATCTATCTATCTATCTATCTATCTATCTATCTATCTATCTATCTATCTATCTATCTATCTATCTATCTATCTATCTATCTATCTATCTATC